TTCTGTGTATAAAAATTGATTCAAGTTTCATTTATCTCATAACTACATACAAGGCAGATGCCTTTTCTCCTCCCCATCCCATATAAATTCCTTGAGGACATGCACTTTTGACATCAAGGCTGAAAGATGAGAAAAAAGTCCACAGTCTCTCCCATAGACGACCTTGCATTCTGCTAGGGCAAACAAAGGTTCTTAATCTTATTGTGAGTCATGGACTTCTGCATTCTGGCAAAGCATATGGACTTCTCAGAATAATGTTTGATGCTTGCATTCATAATTGAAGGAAATCCTAACTTCCAGTTTGAGGTTAATGAAAATAAAGATGTAATTTTTTTTTCTCCATTCAAATTCAAGGAGCCCCTGTAATCTGTCCACAGACCTTTTTGGGGGGTGGTCCAGTTAAGAATCCCCATATGATGGGGGTAGGATATAGGATAGGGAATGATAGGTCAAGAAGAGGGGATCCATATAAATTACTGTAGCAGAATTAAAGAAGAAAATATTTTCATATTTTGCCTCTCTGAACTGAGCCTTGAAGGAAAATAAGGCATCTGAGAAACTGAGTTGAGCAGGAAGTGCACTGCACACAGCAGGTGCTTATTTGCTTAATTAAAATGAATATTAAAGTATCAGGGAAGGCTAATTGAAATAAAATTTAATATCTGGGTATCAAAGAAGACTCCATCTTTAGCTGAACCTTGAAGAAAGATGTGAGGATCATTGATCTAGAGCAGGAAGAGACTTCAGAGGCCCTCAAGGCCAAACGTATCATATTATAAATGAAGCATTCTGAGGCACAGAGAGGCTAGGTGACTTACCCAGGGTCATACAGGCAACAAACATCAGATGGCATCTGAACCCAGGTTTACTTACTCAAAGCCTGTATTTTTTACATTGAACCATACTGACTTTCCAAACTGTCAGACATCACAGTGTTGCTAAGCCCTGGGAATCGAAAAAGAGGCACAAGACGGTATCTCTCCTCAAGGAGCTTACAGTGTAATGGGGGAGAAAACAAATAAATATGTACAAATAAACTATATACAAGGTAAATCAGAAATAATTCAAGGAGGGGAAGGCATTAGATTTGGAGGGGGGCGCGGTTCGGAAGGGCTTCCTGTAGAAGATAGGATTTTAATTGAACTTAAAGGAAGCCAGTAAGAGAGCTTTCCAGTCATAGAGGTTAGCCAGAGAACATGCCTGGAGCTGAGAAGTGGAAGGTCTTCTTCGTGAAACAGTGAGGAAGCCAATGTTACTGGATCAGAGTACACATTGGGTACTAAGGAAGGTATAAGAAGACTAGAAAGATAGGAGGGGATTAGGTTATGAAGGTCTTTGATTGCCAAACAATAATTTCCTATTTAATTCTCGATGGCAATTGGGAACCACTGGAGTTTATCGAATAGGGGTGGAGTGTGATATAATTAGATTAGCATATTAGGAAAAATAACTTTATTGACTGAATGGAGGGTGGTTTGGAGTGGAGAGAAGCTTGAGGTAGGCTGAGCCACCAGCTGGCTACTGCAATGATCCAGGCTTGAGGTGATGAGGGCCTGTATCAGAGTGGTGGAAGTGTCAGAGGAGAGAAAGGTACATATAGGAGATGTCACAAAAGTGAAATTGACAGGCTTTGGCAAGAGATTTGATATGGGGTGGGGGGGTAAGTGAGAGATAATGAGGAGTCAAGCATGCTACCTACATTGCCAGCTTAGTAGTATAGAGGGAGAAGAGAAGAGGGTTCAGGACAAAGCACTGAGGGACACCTACTGTTAGAGGGTATGATCTAGAAGAGGATCTAACAAAGGACACCTAAAAGGAGTGATGTGATAGGTAGGAGGGAAACCAGGAGAGAAAGGTGTCCCAAAAACCTGGAGAGAAGGGATTATCAAGGAGAAATGGGTGATCAATAATGTAAAAGGCTGAGGGGAGGTCCGGAAGAATGAGGATTGAGACAAGGCCACTTGATTTGGCTGCTGGACATCACTGGTAACTGGAGAGAGCAGTTTTGGTCAAATGATAATGTCAGAAGTTAGAGAGTATTATGTTAGTCCAGGTAAAAGGTGAAAAGTGCCTGAACTAGGGTGCTTGGTCATGTGAGAGGAGAAAAGAAATGGTGCAAAAACTTGCTCAGTAAGCCTTTATTAATCATACATTATGTGCCAGACACTGGGGGAGATACTTAGCTGGGGATATAAATACCAAAAACTGAAACTGTCTCTTGCCTCAAGGAACCTTCATTCCATTAAATGAAACATGTGCATATGCAACATATGTACAAGGCAAATATAGGCTGAGTGAATCAGGAAGCCCTCATATTTGAGTAGGGCAGCTAGTTGGTGCAGTGGGTAGAGTACTGAGCCTGGAATCAGCAAGACCTGAGTTCAAATCCAGCCTTGGACAATCACTAGCTGTGTGACCCTGGGAAAGTGGGATTAAGTGACACAACTAGTAAGTCTAAGGCTGGATTTGAATTTGGGTCCGCCTGACTGCTGCCCCAAGTCTAAGGATTTTAATATGTGGAGTTGAGTTATGAAGGTAGAATTAATAGGAATTGGTAGATGATTGGATTTTGAGAATCAGTATCAGCGTTGATTCCAAATTTTCAATTTTTTTGTGACTATGATATTGGTGTCTTCAACAGATATGGGGAAGAGTAGCGATTTTGGAAGGAAGATGATGAGTTCCGTTTTGTACATATTAAATGACAACAGAACTTATTTATTATAGAAATTGAGACTGTTTCTGGACTTTGTGGGGGGGAAAAGCCCTGCAATTCAGTTGGCAGTTTCAATCTGTGATTTCTTTAGTGATTGGCTACTCCAAATCCCTCTTTACTTCCTCATTCTGTATTATTCTTGTTCATGTTTAACTACAAATCCTTTAAGGAGCATTTACCATTTCAGTGGGTCAAATTAGCGTATTCATTGACTGGCTATCTCTTTCCCCACTTGGCGCAAATACCCTCCAGCTGCTCTTTCAGTAAAGAGTGTGACAATCTACTATCCCATGTTTCTACTTACTATCTCTCCCTCCTTTCTTGCCTCTCTGCTCCTTTCTTCCTATCTATGTCAGCCCTGGAAAGGTTTCCAGTGTCCATATACTGCTCTTTCCTTATATGCCGTTATGTCCTCTGAATTCCTGTTCTGTTGTTAACAGACTGTCCTTAATTTTAGATTTTTGTCCTTCTACTCTTTCTCTAATGTTATTTTTATATAAATTTTGCATGTATTTCTTTGTGTACATGTTGATTTTAACTAACAGATTATAAGCTCCTTGAGGGCAGGGACTGTTCCTTTTTCTTTGTATTCTTTGTAATAGAGGGAGTAGCCAACCCACTAAGGACTTCACAGATAGAAATTACCAACTAAATCACAGGACTTCTGCACTTAGCACAGTTCTTGAGCATACAAAGAATCAATCTCACCCTCAAAGAATTTACGTTTTATGGAGGGAGGCAACATGTACACATGGAAGTATAGACACAATATAGGATAGAGACAGGGACTGGACCTGTGATTTCATTGATATAGATAATTAATATAGGTAATTCTTAGGTAAGGGAGCACCTTCTACAATGGCAAGTTCGCGTCTTCTGTGCAGTTCACAGTTTTTCTAGAGAGCTGTCTAGACCACCGAAAAGTTAAATAACTTGCTCAGGGTCAGGTAGGCAGTATGTGTTGGAGGCAGTATTTGAATCCAAGTCTTCCTGGTTTCTAGGCCAGACCTCTAACCATTGTACCACACTGCCTCTCTTCTGAAATATAAATAAGATAAATTCAAGGTAATTTGGAGTTTGGGGAGAAGGCACTAACAGTTGTGGAGAGAATCAATAAAGACTTCATTGGGAAGATAATATTTGAATTAAGCTTTGAAAGAAACTAGGAATTGTTATAAGTGGTGATGGAAGGAGTATGATCTTGGCAGGGGGGGAAAAATTCATTGTAAAGAGACAGACTATGTAATGAAAGCCGGTTTGTCCAGACTTAAAGAGTGCATTAATATGTTGCCTTTGTTTTAAGGCAAAATAAATATCTAAACCAGTATTATATAAGACAGAAATCCTAAAATATGCTCAGTGTTTGGGAGTAAGCTTTAACTTAATTGTACATTTAGGTTCAAGGAAGAGTAGTTAATCCTGTGAATATCATGATCATAGTCAGTTCCAGTGCTGAGGCAAACTCAGAACATAGTTCACTGAAAAGGGGCTGAAAATCAGTTTCTGGTAGCTACAGTTCCCTAATCACATCGTCTCCCATGTTAGGAGACACCCTTCCATTGACACAAGGAAATTGGCAGGATAACCATTTCCTTTTTCACTTGACCTGTGATGCTTTCAAAGACAATATTTTCTTTTAAAAAGAAAATTAACATATTTTGCTTTTATATAACATATATTTCCCAATTTATCCTTCCTCCTTCAGCTCAGTTTAGCAAAACTAACTAGTACACGGACCAAGTCTGACATTGTATACAGTGCTCTTTACCCAAAGTTGCCTATCTCTGTTTAAAAAAAAAAACAAAAGAAACAACCAAGTAGGAAAATACCTTCTCATTATCTTTGCCCAAACTTGCTTATTGTGATTTCACACAGTATGCGTTTGATGATTGCTTATTGACTCATTCAGTCTGGATGGATTTATTGTTCTTTTCATTTATTTACATTGTTTTCATTTTGTATGCTGTTTTCTTGGTTTTGCCTACTTTGCTTTAGAGCAGTTCATGTATTTCTTCCCATGGTTCTATGAATTCTTCATAGACATCATTTCTTACTGCAGGGTAATATCCATATGCCATAATTTGATTAACTATGCCCTAATCAATGGACACATACTTGGCTGCTCTTTGCTACAAAAAGGACCACTAACATACTTTTGGCATATGCAGGACCTTCCTTTTTGTCCTTATCCTCCTAGGTTTTATACTTGACATTGGAATCTTTGGGCATTTTCGCCATGGATATTTTCAGTGTTCTCATTACACCTTTCTTTTTGTCCCTCCAGCTTTTGTCTTTCCTTCAGGGATTATTCACCTTTTACCATGAAGGATATGAACTGGCTCAGGAATTTGCACCCTACAAGCAGCAGTTGCAGTTCAATTTACAGAATGTAAGACTCTCTACATTAATGCCATGTTATAACTAAGTGGAGGTTTTATTCATTAGAACTTTCTTTTTTTTTTCCTTAATAGTATTTTATTTTTTCCAGTTATATGTAAAGATAGTTTTCAACATTCATTTTTGTAAAACTTTGAGTTCCAAAATTTCTTCCTCCTGCCCCTCCTCAAGACAGCAAGCAATCTGATATAGATTATACATATAGTCATATAGCTACTTTCTAACAAACCATTTAAACCATGAACTTTCTCAGAAAACAAACTGTACCTACATTCAGCCCTCAATAATTAGAACTGGCAGAGAAGTTGACAAAGAGCAAAGACAAAGGCGACCATGTGAATTGCCAAAGCATCTGAATGAGAATATCTCAGGGAAATTGTGAGCAACAGGAGGACACAGTGGACCAAGGAGTCAGAGGGCCTGCATTTAAACTATAGTTCTGCTTCTTGTGACCTGTGTGAACTTAGGGAAGTCACTGGACTACTTTGGGCCTCAGTTTCTAAAAAATGAGATGCTTGGACCAGATGATCTGTCTCTAAGTCCTTTCTAGGTCTCAGTATGTTATGAGTTTCACATGTATAATAGGGAATAGGTTAGAAAGGAGAGTGCTTGAGAGAAAAAGTCATAGTCATTGTGGCCTGACAAACAACTGTTTTACTCAAGTGAAAAATGTTTTTAAAATGAAAGAAATTTTTTTCTGCTTAAAAATTTTAAATAATTTTTAAACTTTCTCCAAAGCATACGTGTTTTTTTTAAAATCTACTTGGATGATCTTTCTTTAAAAAAAACAAAACTGAACTAAAAAAAACAACACTTCCCCCCACCCCATACTTATGGGGAGAGTGGTACTTGTTGATAGATTTTTTTATATGATTTTCAATACTTTTTGACATTCTAATAATAAAAATAATAGGTAGCATTTTCATAGTGCTGAAGGTTTACAGGGCATTTTACCAATATTTCATTTTGTCTTCACAATAACTATGGGAGGTCAGTGATGCTATCATAATTCCCATTTTGCCAGTGAGGAAACTGAGGCATAGAAAGGCTAAGCAACTTGCTCAGGGTCAGTAGTAATTATCTGAGGCCAAATCTGAACTCAGATCTTCCTAACTTCAGGTCCAGTACTTTATCTACTCTGCTGCATAGGTGCCATTTTTAAAATGTCTCCATTTTGAAGTTATTTTATTATTGCCAGCCACTGCAAGTTTGCCTTGACATGAGTTGTAAGTTGATACTAAATGAATTATTCAACCAAGAAGTGAATAAGTTAGAAACTTTGGGAGATTCATTAACTGTTTTCAGGTCCTTTCGTTTATTAGAATAGTGATTAGAGTCTGGTTTATTACCAATGAGAATAGTATTTATAGAAAGCAATTCAATGTTCATATTTTTTAGGAAATCAACTGAAAGAATTATGCTGACTCAAAACTATTGTATAAATTTGAAATAAGGATGCTTTTTTTAAATCTATGGCCACTGACTTGTACCAGGGCTTGGAATGAGAAAGGAGGGAGGGAACAAATTGTAACCGTGTAGGTATAACTCAAGAAAACTTAGGAAAACTTCTCACTAAATCATTTTAATTTGGGATAAATATTTCAAATAATTCCAAAATGGAATTTATTTTTATACTGTGAACAGTTAAGGGATACAGTAGGGTAGCAGAATAGGTAACTAGAACTAAAGAGAGAGGGAAAAAAAGAAGACACAGAAAGATGAAGAAATGCAAACTGAAAGAGAGGTGGAAGAGAATGTGTAAAACAGACGCAGAAACTGGCACATGCAGAAAGATAGGCATGTGTACATTATGATTAGACATAGACATAAACTTTTAATATGTTAAAATGCTACTGCAAAATTATTTTAACGTGTTATATCCTTGCAACTCTAAGAATAATTGGTGATATTTCAGTTTGATAATTGTCATCTAGACTGTAAGAAATGAAAGTTGAAAGTTGGGTCTGACTTTTTAGCTGAAGATTCCTGACCCTTGGTTTATATGTTTACTTCTAAATAAACTATCAAATTATTTTTTTTCTCTTTCAGACAAGAAATAATTTTGAAAGCACTCGTCAAGAGGTAGAGAGATTAATGCAGAGAATGAAATCTGCAAATCAAGATTACCGTCCTCCAAGTCAATGGACAATGGAAGGGTATCTTTATGTACAAGAGAAACGTGAGTCAAATCTTATGATTTACCAGTAGGCAAAAAAAAAAAAAAAAGAAACTTGTTTAATAAGTGTTGCATTAACTGCTGACCAGGTTAGCAATATCTTGAGAGGGAGAGGCATGAAATTGCTAAGCATTGTAGTATCTTTTAAGTTTTAGTATGCTGGTGATACAAATATAAAATGAAACAGTCCTTGCCTTCTTGGTGCATATGTTCTAATAAGGATTAAATTCATAAAGGGGAGTAGGGGCCAGGAAGGGAGTTTTGATTTGGAGAATCACAAGGATGCTGAATGAAGCAGTATAGAATTAGATTGTCATGCCCTTTCCAAAAATAATAGCAATATTGATTTGTTCAGTGTTCCCAGAGCAAGAGTTGAAAAATTAAGGGTGTAGGTGGAGTATCAAGGCAGATGGCAAAATGATGCAATCAGCTAGGTACAGTGACATGCTGTGGAGATAGGGCCTTATCTGTAAAACCTGAGATGGAGTTTTATTAACCTGTGTGTGACAAAAAAAAAAGCCCAAACAAACCTGAGTGACAACTAATTACAGTACTCAGCTATTCTTGACACTTATTTCCTGACCTTCCATTTAGACTTCAGAGTGCCAGCTTGACACCAAATAACTAGCCAATTTTATATCTGAAAAAAATAACTAGATATAGAATTAAACCGACCCTATTAAAAGAGCCCACAATTATATGAGTGCAAAGATGATTTTTCTTGATACAGACTTTTATTTTTACTTTATGTGAACTTTTGAATGAAGATTTAGTTACTAAGTTTAAGCTCTAAAATGGATTTATTCTTTGCCACATTCATTCAAAGACATAAGCCCTAATCTCAAACAGTGTGTCAGTGTTCACTATTATCTGCAAGAAAAATAGCACTCAGGCTTCTGAAATCTAACTGGTTTTTCCCAAGTTTGTCTCTCACTTGTCCGGGCCTGACCTGAAGCCTCATATTCATTGTCCAAGTTCTAATCAGGGTCTTTGAGTTGTCTGACATGTGCCTGCTCTTTGCTGTGTTATGCAGTCAGTCTTGAGGCTTTTATTCCTAAGACTGTAAGCCTTGGCTTTACTCAGTTTCTGGTTCCCCAGGTTTAGCTCATTGGTCAATATATGTTATAAACAATAACAGTCTCATATGAGCTTAGTCCTTCCACTGCACACATGACATCTGCCTTAGCTATTGCTCTGTTATAGATGTGTTAACTCATGGGGGCATATCGTCTTTACAGATGTCATTATGTTATGCAGGATATTATGGACTATATAATCCACTGTACCCATAGTTCCAAATGGCATACCATTTCATCGTTAAAATTTTTTTATTATGTTTAGGATAATGCTGAAATTGTTTGCATTTACTGAGTAAACGTAGACTAGGCACCAGGTAGAGAAATATCAAAAGTGTTCTAGGTCTAGCTCTTCTAATTCATCTTGAAGAGTTTTTGATTTATTGAAGTTCTTAATGCCCTTCTGAACATCAGTCACTGGGACTCATGCTGACCTTAGAAACATTTGCCACTAGGGAAAAATGTAGGCCTGCCTTGGGAAGAGGTAGCTAAGTGTTAGCTCATAGAGGACTTTTAGTTGGAGTAAACTTTGGACTCATCAATAAAGATTATGTTTACATAGTAAGGGGAAAATCTTAATAGAAAATTGTTGATCTAGTTTTAAAATTATTTTATTGATCTAGTTTGATTATTTCTACTTGTAAGCCATTGTGCAGAAATCTGTCATTCACACAAACCAATAATGCAGCTGATTTTTTTTAAATGCTTATTTCTTTTGCCACATATGGAAGGAAAGCAGTAAAATTTTGGATACTGTAAGGGAAGTGATGTGGAGATAGGGTCTTACCTGTAAAGATTGGGATAGAGTTTCTAGGAACATTTCTAATGCAGAGCAAAACAGTGGATTTATTTTTATAATTGCAAGCTATACGATGAAGTAGAAATGGCATTTAAGATAGCTTCAGGATAAGCACCTGGATCTGACCAAATACCTAAATACGCACCTGGATCTGACCAAATACCTAAATACATACTATACATATGCACATATACATATGTATGTATGTATGTATGTATACATACATATATGTATGTATGTATGTATGTATGTATACATATATATATATATTGCTGTTTTTTAGTCATTTCAGTCATGTCCAACCCTTTGTGACTCCATTTGGGGTTTTCTTGGCAAGGATATTTCAGTGGTTTGCCATTTCCTTCTCTAGCTCATTTTTACAGATGAGGAACTGAGGAATTTAATGTGACTTTCCCAGAGTCATACAGCTAGTAAGTGCCTGAGGCCAAATTTGAACTCATGAAAATGAGTCTTCCTGATCCCAAGCCCAGTACTCTTATCTACACGCTACCCACTGCCCCCACTGCCCTCACTGCCCCCACTTTCCCTCACTCTCTATTATTCTCTTTCTCTTTATGTATGTGTATGTATATATGTATATATGTATATATGTGTATATATGTACATATGTATATATGTGTATATATGTATATATGTATATATAATATATAAAATATATCTGATGTAAAATATATAGATGTTTTATATGTGGTGTGTGTATATACAATAATCATACTCTGTTACCTATATTTACTTGCGTATTCTCCATATAGCTTTTCCAAATTCGAAGTTGGTTGGTGAATTTCCTGTTTCTCCATCCATATCTTTAGATAACTACATTCTTTCCCCTCATTGGAATAGATTCTCTTTGTGTGTTCACAATTTCATTTTTGACAGCTTCCTTACCCTGCCTGTAGAATTTTAGTTCATGAGATCTTGTTATCCTTCCTCTAAACACTTTGAAAACTGCTTTCTTAAAATCTAGTGTGCATTCCAGAATACACTCAGCTTTATTCCCCCTTTCTATTACAGACTTTCATAGGGACTGATAATTTCCCTTCAACATTCCCAGTATTTCTATCCTAGCTTCTGGGTCTTCCCTGTTTTTTTTTAAAAAAAATTCCCTTTGTTGATTCTTCTACTTTTTGAAGGATGAAATTACCATTATGGCAAATCAGGAAATGATGAGCTGTTCTTTTGGCAGAGAAAGGATTACAGCAGGTCTCAGGATGATTTAGATCTTTCATCACTACTAGATCATGCCTCTTTGCCAGACTTGTGATCTATTTCCCAGGCTGATAATCTGTTTTCTCTTTCTGTCCAGTTGATCCATTGTTTACTCTAATACAAAAATTACTTCTTTTTCTGTTTTCACTGATCTGTACCATACCCTTCTGGGTCCTGGATTTCCTCACATTAGTGCTTCTTCCTAGTACATAATACTACCTCCTCCATTCCCCCAGTAATTTCTTTTATTGCTATTAGGGTAAAATATAAACTTCCTAGCCTGGCATTTCAAACCTTCCTCTACCTGACAGCCTATCTTCCCCTACTTTTTTCTATCATTCCTATTCACTAATGGTGCGTTCCAGGAAAATTAGAGTACTCATTGTTCCCCTAAACTTTGCATTCCATTTCTTGCCTTTATGGATTTACATAAAGTATCTCCTATTCCAGAAGTGTACCCCTGCTTTTTGCTTTTAAGAATGTTTATCATCCTTTAAGACTCAACTCAAGCAGGTGTCACCTCTTTAGGGAAACCTTACTTGAACCCTATCTTGATTATTAGTGTTTTCTTCAAATTGAGATATATTTACTTAACTATGTATGTGTTGTGTCTACTCCCTTTTTCTTTCTTCCAGTAGAATACAAACTTCTTGAGGGTAGGGGCTCTTTCATGTTTGTTTGTTTATTGCTTTTTAGCCCTAGTGCTGGCATACTGTATATAGTTCAATCAGAGTTTATTTAATTGATTGGAAATTAAGTTGTCACTTTTCCAGTGTAAAGGATGATGATGATGATGATGATTAGCAGTATTAATATAGTCTAACAGATTTCAGTAATGCAAACAAATAGCTCCTTAGTAATCTCGAACCTACTGACTTGGGGGTATTTTATTTGTTTTAATTTTAAGTTGGGCACAGCTCCCCCCACCCCAAGATATGTTTTTTAAACTTTTAATTTTCCTTTAGTACATTACAGATTTCTGATCCTGATGACATCTGAGGACAGTTGGCTCAATCTCAGGCAAACTCAAAAGAAATTAGTATGTGCAATAAATATTAAAAGTAAATGCACACATTTTTTAAATTTACGATATTCATGTGAAAAGAAATCTTTAAACAACCTAGATGTTGTTGATGATATGGATAGAAAATGGTTTATTCCAGTGCAGGTCAGCACTTCTTCTGCTCTTTATATTTTTAGAGAATCGTTTTGGGGTACTGACCTACTAAGTGACTTGCCCGAGTCCCATAACCTATATTTGTCAGTGACAGAACTTAAATTGAGGTCTTCCTGACTTTGAGATGGGCTTTTCTTCATAAACTATACCAAACTACCTCTTTACTTATAAACCATGAAAAATACCACTTTGACTGAATGTTAAAAGAAGCAAAAAATACCTTTCATGAAATACCTGCTTAGTTAACAACCATTATTCTATACATATTTTTTTAATGTTTCACCTTCCTCTTCTGTCATTTTAAATCAGAAACAAGGTCTCCATCCATTATGCCACAGTGTAAATAATGCTGTTATGTCACAAATCTCTTTAGAATGGCGATGGCATGAAAAGTGTTTCCATAGCCTCAGCATTCCTGCAATAAAATTTTCCTTTTTGTTGTATTGCATTCTGTATATCAGAATTATTCACAAATATTATAAACTGTGAATAATTAATAAAAGTTCCTAAGTCTGAATAGAAAAAATTACAATAATCCTTTTTGTTTTGTAAGGTACTTTATACCCCATCATTTGAAAATTGGAGGGATTTATGCATTGAAATTAAATATGACTCCAGGGGCTTTTAAATAAAAAATATTTTTGATTCCTTTACATTTTTCTCCATTTAAACATGTTTATGTTAAATTCATTGGCATATGGTTTTGAGGCTTGGCCAGCAATAA